TGGCGCTGGGGAGGGCTCCCACTTCCCCCTCCAGCTTTCCAGAGGACGAGCTCCCGCCCTGACAAAGCTCTCTCATCTCACATTTGTTATACATCCCACCGTGGTCTGCAGAAACCACCGCCACAACTGGGGAGTCCACTGCAGAGGTACTGAGCCACAATCACATTCCTCGGCACCAAGAGAAAGCTGGATGGGTGATTTTTTTTTTTTTTAGGCAACCAGAGAAATCTGGAAATGAATGCAGAATCTAAATTCAGGTACACGAGAAGGTCTCAGCCAGCAGTCTCCAGGAACACCTAGGCCTCGCTGCATGCCCGTCTTCTGAGCGAGCCCCTAATTGAAGAAGAAGAATGTTCCGTTCTACGAAGCTCCGGGCCTGCACGGAGCTGTCAAGCGTCCTGCTGTTTCCCTGCTAATGGGAGAGGCATGTGCAGGCGAGTGAGAGGAAGTGGTCCCTGCGTGTATGCGATTTGTAATTCTGCAAAGAGCCCGCAGCCTTCCTGAAGGGTGCCCACATCCAGGGCACCCGGATCGCTTCCCGACACAACTAGATTTCTCTACTCACAGCCAAGCCCAGCTTCCAGGGCTGCTCTCCGCTGAGTTCTTTTACAGGAATTTTAAATGTTATTGACTTAAGTCAAACTCTACCCACTTACTCACTGCTATAATGCTGTAACAATTTCCAAATGGAGTGGGGGGGGGGAGGTTCTGAAAGCAACCAAGCTCTATTAAACGTGGAGCAAATTAACCAAACTCTCTTGAGTTTCGATTTCCTCATCTCTAAAAGCAAAGGGGGGGCGGGGGGGGTGGCCACCGAGGAGGGTTCCTGTGAGGATTACAGAGGATCCTCCATGTTAGTTACAGCCAGGATGATTCTATTATAGAACAGGAAAATTAATATTCATAATGCAATCATTATTTGCCTAGCAACATTAGTCCCATGACAATAAATTGCATTAAAATTATTCCTAAAGTTCTCTGCAAACGTTACAATTACTTCATTACCTAACATATCAAGATGAACACAGCCGTTCTTTCCTCCCACTTTACCACCTTCAGTGATGAGAGAGCGGCATCAAGCATTCAGTAGGTTTCCAAAGAATTGATCTATTACCTAAATACCAGCCAGGGAGCAGGGAGGAACAGAAGTAGGGGCAACTGGAATCATCAGGGTGCGGGTCCCCTTCATTTTTCAGTCTCCTGAGGTCTCATCTTCCTTAGGGTTCTTCTAAAAGCCGGGGGCCCAGGAGGAAGGACAGGACCAAAAGGGGACACCTAGTGGTCAGGGATGTTTCCGTGTGGACTACAGTTAAACAGCAAGTAAGGGTAACCAAGGTGACTTTACAATCAAGAAAACCTCTTTTTGCCCAGCAGGTGTGGCTCAGTGGTTGAGCATCCACCTATGAAACCAGGAGGTCACAGTTCCATTACCCATCAGGGCACATGCCCAGGTTGTGGGCTCGATCCCTGGTAGGGGGTGTGCAGGAGGCAGCCAATCAGTGATTCTCTCTCATCATTGATGGTTTTCTCTCTCTCTCTCTCTCCCTCTCCCTTCCTCTCTGAAATCAATTTTTTTTAATTTTTAAAGAAGTTTCACATTTTCATAAAATATTCTACTCACTTAGCAGAGACATAACAAGGGAATGTAATTTATTATAAAATTCTTATTTGCAATTTCTGTCTCCATATATGTTTATAAGTATGCAAAATTCTTCGGGATTATAAAACAGATGTAACTGCTGACATCCAGTCACTGTGTCCAGATCTTTAAAAAAAAACTACACTGCACATCCACCCAGGTAACTACACATGTAACATTCAGATTTGTGGGCTCAGTGACATAAAGTCATTCTAGCTGTCACCACTCCTGTAGAAAAACAGTAAGACAGGGAAAACACAGGTCTATGTTTCTTGTTAACATTTACCGGGTGATCCTAGGGTTAGAGAGGACACTGCTAAATATTCATGCTGGAACACAAGGCAGGCGTATCTTTCTCATTTTGAAAAGGCTGTATCCTCTCCACGGAAGAAAGTCAACATAATTATCTTAATTACTTTAAAACAAGTGGCTTCTGGTCCCTGTATTCTTGTTCCTTTGTATATCTTGGATGGCTCCCTGAAGATCAAATTTTGTATTTGTCCCTCTTTTAAATATATATATATATATGTGTGTGTGTATATATATATATATATACATACACACACACATATATACTTCAGAGAGGAACAGAGAGGGAGAGACAGAAACATCAGTGATGAGAGAGACTCATTGATCGGCTGCCCCCCATTAGGGATCAAGCCAGCAACCCAGGCATGTGCCCTGACCGGGAATTGAACCGTGACCTCCTGGTTCATAGGTCAACGCTTAACCCCTGAGCCACACTGGCCAGGCTCCCTCTTTTTTTAAACAAAAAACAAAGGTGTTTTTAATCATATGCACATATCTTAAAGACAATATTACTATTAGAAGCACTAAGACATACACATGAAGAAGAGTTGCTATCTCATACACTTTACGAGGGTTCATTTTACGTTATGTGAATTATACTTTAATTTTTTTTAATGCAATCATACTAATGTAATTTTTTTAAAAAGTGGGGGTGGGGAATAGGGTCTCCACCATAGCTCTAAGTCTCTCATTCAAAAACCCTGAAAGCACTTTTAGATGACTTATTCTTCTGAATATGCCTGCCCCTGCACACACACACCCCATCCACACACAGACAAGGCATCTCATTTCATCTGCATATTGGACTTTTCATCTATGAAATGACGGAATATTTTTCTCTGGCTGACTCACAGACGTATGAGAATGAAATGGGGTGCAAGATGGACCATAACAAGTGTCAGCAAGGAGGTGAGGCAGGGGAACCCTGTGTGCGTGGCTAGTGGGGATGTGAGATGATGCAATCGCTTTGGAAAACAGTTTGGCAAATCCTCGGAGAGTTACACGGAGGAACCATGTGACTCAGTCATTCCACTCCTAGGTATATAACCCAAGAGAAATGAAAACAGATGCCTGAACAGAAACTGGTTCACGAATGTTTATAGCAGCATTCCTGAACATGGCCCCCGAAAGGGAAACACCTAAATGTCACCCTGTGATGAATGGGTAAGTAAGATGTGGTCCATCCATGGAATAAAATATTGTTCGGCCACAAAAAGAAATGAAGGATGCATATATTCTGCAACATGGATGGATGCTGAAAACATATGGATTATACTGAGTAAAAGAAGCCAGCCCCGAGAGACCACCTATTTTGATTCCATTTATATGACGTATCTATGAAAGGCAGATCTATTAGCACAGGGAGTCTACAGGAAGTTGCTCGGGGCTGGGAGGGGGCAGCGTGAATGGGGAAGGACAGCCGGTGAGAAGGGCTTTCTCTCAGAGGAGACAGCTCCACAATTAGACTTCAGGGGGGACTATGCCACAACCCGGTAAATATACAATAACAACAAGCCCCAAACATTGACCTGTACATTTTAAATGGGTAAACTGTCCTTGTGTAAATGAAATCTCAATAGACTTGTTAAAAAAAAAAAATAGTGCCCCAGCTGGTGTGGCTCAATGGTTGAGTGTTGAGGAGGCAGCCGATCCATGATTCTCTCTCATCATGGATGTTTCTCTCTCTCTCTCTCTCTCTCCCTCTTCCTTCCTCTGAGATCAATAAACACATTTTTAAAATAAATACAAAAACAAACAGAAAGGGGAGCCCCCTCTAGGGTTTCAGGTCTTGGGGCTCTGCCAATACACTGATTGAGGGTTGTGATTGAAGTCCTTTCCTGTCCTCAAATCTTAGGAAACCAGACTCTTTTATTTTTCCTTCCCCATTCATTCCTTCTACCGTTAACAAAGCTCGCTCTGCCCCTAGACATCAGGAGAAAAAAATGTGAGCCTTCTGCTGGCCTTTTTGTGGTTTTTGCCGCCTGCTGTTATTCTGAGAGGTGAGGGTGTACCCTGCCTCGGGCACCTCTCCTCCCATCCTCTCCAGCCAGAAAGGAGAGCAGGTCCTTGCCTTTTAGTGCCTGTTGACATGATAAGCAGTGTCTGCCCTTAGGTGCCGTAACCTCCACCTGGCCCGGAACAGAGACCTCAGCATTCCCGCTGGGGCTCTGGGCGGGAACTGGAAAGTGATGTGACACCTCAAGGCCTCAACCAGCAGATCTCGACCAGCTGACAGTCCGTCCAGCGTCTGTTTTGTTCTGGACACCATGGCAGATCCTGCAAATACCAGACACGAATGAGAACACAGCACTGTCTTCAAGGCGCTCACAGACTGGGCGGTAAGTGGCTAACCAGGCACAGTGAGGTAACCGCTAGGGACAAAGCAATCAGGAGCCTGGGGGCTACCGCTGAAAACAAGGTCATCTCCTCATTGTCTGGGTGCAGGGAGAGGAGAGATGGGGCTAGCGGACCAGCACAGGAGCCCCACTTTTTTCGGGCAGGGGTATCAGGTGTGATGTGATACGAATGGGGGCGGAGGGCAAGGGGCAGGCCCCAAATAATAACAGAAACTCAATCCATGGGAACCGCATAGGGCAGTGATGGCGAACCTATGACACGCGTGTCAGAGGTGACACGCGAACTCATTTTTTTGGTTAATTTTTCTTTGTTAAATGGCATTTAAATATATAAAATAAATATCAAAAATATAAGTCTTTGTTTTACTATGGTTGCAAATATCAAAAAATTTCTATATGTGACACGGCA